TWAAWTYMAWKRAAAWTWTTTTGACATAATACTTAATGGCACCCAGTATACCTTTCAGGAACAATTGTCCTTCTGATAACCATASCATTTTGATCATCACTTGTTCTGGTTTTCTGTAATGATAAACATTWCATCAAATTTTGCATTTGAATAAGCTACTTGATGTTGCACACTTCTCAGTGTTTGTATTTTAACCTAGTATACCGGTAATTTAATATCATCAATATACATGTAGCTTCACTATATATATCATGTTAATCAATACCTCAGATGATTCAATGACATTTTCACTAAATGCTGCATTCTGTTCTGTTTCTGTTGTTTCTTTCTTTTGGGGAAAAGAGGGCAAAGGATCTAAACATAAAAAAGTATCAGTTTAATCCGTAAGTRTCCGTTAGCAGTCCATGGCAGCTGTTCACAAACCTGTTAATTCTGCTAAAGCATCTGAATCAAGAGAAGAAAGATTTGGATCGATGTTCAGTGGCTGGTTGCACCGTTGACAAACAAAATGGACATGAGTKGTAACTTTGTATCCTTCTACTTGCTTGGCAGCCATATTGCAAGAGTTTCTCAACACTGCCAAGTCATTTGTGCAGTTAAGCAATCATTTGTATTCAAAATTTGAAGTCATTTGGCTGGAAACTCAAAAGAATCAATCATTTCAAGTCCTGTTTTGATTGAAGACGAGGAACCTTCGTCCCATTTCCCAGAGTTCTTCGAGTTCTTTTCTCTGTCCGCGATAGACTGGACTCTACCAAGAAAACAAGATGGCGGCTTCCTTGTCATATTTTTTGTGCTGAAAGACTTTTCCACTTTTCTTCCACTTTTCTTCCACTATGACAATTTGAACTGATCACTTCTCTACCTACATTGAGTACTTAAAGTTTTTAATATGGCTTCACCTAGTTATTTTGGTGAGTCTAACAAAAAGAGCGAGGTCAACGAACTGAAGAAGTTGCTTGATCAGGCAGACACCCAACGGGACCCCAAAAAGTACCGCCAGGTCGTGCAGAAAGTAATCGCTTGCATGACTTTAGGGATGGATATGTCGTCGTTATTTATGCGCATGATAAAGGTGAATATTTTCAGAAATGTAAACTAGGGCATGTAAGCCCATACTGAAGGCTGACACTTAAGCTTATATCATCCCAGTGGCCAGAGAATCTGACTTGACAGATCRGCTGGAAGCTCAAACTCCACAGAATTTGAACGATTTGCAGAAACCACCATTTTCTCAGCAATTGCAGTCCCCAACCTTTTTTAAACCCATTGAAATACTCCACAAAACCATGCTTTCTTTGCAGTTKCCATTCCTGTATTTAAAGAATAACAAAGGCTTACGTCACATTGAATATCGCTATATCCTATCGTAAAAATTGGTGTCATTGTGATACCGTCACTGTACATTGCCTAAGTCAAAGTATTTTTTTTATTATTATTATTAATTGATAGAATATTGATTAAACAGGCTGGTGCTACAAATGATCTAATTCAGAAGAAGCTTGTGTACCTGTACATCTGTGCCTATGCAAAAACAAACACACAGCTTGTTGTATTGACAATMAATACACTTCTTAAAGATATTCAAGACAGAAACTCTATGATAAGAGGACTAGCACTTAGAAGTATGACATCACTGAAGTAAGTACAATACTTACTTTTTCTAAATTTATTTGATTATTGATTAATAGATTGATTAATCAATTGTTATTAATGTTAGTTTACCCGATCTGTTGGAGCATATAGAAGAGCCAGTTATATCATCATTACAAGACCCTAGTAATTATGTTAGAAGAATAGCAGTCATGGGCTGYGTGAAGCTGCATCATCTTAACCCAGATTTTGTTGAAGGTACATTTATAATTTATTCTATTGTTATATTAAATATAGGACGTTAATGATGATTATATTTCATTAAATAATGTTTTTAGAATATGGAGTAATTGAAAAGCTAAAAAGAATGATATGGGATGACGATCCACAGGTAATAAAATGATTAATTTGCAATTTCTTTTGAGATGTGACCAATTACTTGCCTACATTATATAGCAATTCATTATAATTTTTATAAATTATGCAGGTGACATGTAACTGCATATCAGCCTTGGATGAGATTCTGGCTTCTGAAGGAGGACTAGCTATTGATCAAAAAATGGCACACAATCTTCTTAAAAGGTATACAGTCATATGTAATTTTCGTAAATATTAGTGATTATCTTCATTGTTTTATTGGCTCATCAAATGATCAACTTATTGGAC